CGGATATAAATGTTTGGTCTCCAGCAGCGCGCAAACACAAATGAAACCCGAGCAACCCGGCCAGTTCATTTCTTACTGTGCGTCATTCCCCCCTCTTTTTACTTGCCAAGCAAATAAAAGGGGCCCGGCGACTATCTGGATTGCATCCGAGTTTTATTTTGAAGGCATTGTGGAAGGACTGCTCTTGATAGCATCGTCGGCGATTCGGCCGCCGGATCGTGCGCGTTCGAATTTTCGCTCGCTGAGAAATATGGAATATTCCCTGGAGATCGGCAACGTTGCTTGTTACGTAAAAAGCCAGCGGATCTCCTGGTGTGCTTTTTGGTCCTTTTCCAAACTTGGGGGATTCATCTCGCTCGCAACTTTAGTAACGTTTCGGTCCCCTCTCCGAGCCTCGTATTCAACAATCCGCTCTGGTCTTTGTCGCCACAAACTCATCTCGTCGTCCCCCGGACGAAGAAACGTAACTCCACTCCGATGTCGCCAAATTGACTCAAGAAATCGATTTATTTTAAAAAAATGTACTTGTGCAATATTTATCCAATACTGTTATGATTTTTCTTACGAAATCCAGAGAAAAATCAGCAAAATTTTCTGTTAAAAATGCTCATCTTGTCTCTCATATCGTCGCCTCTCGGACGAAAGGACGTAACTCCACTCCAGTGTTGCCAAATTGGCACAAGCAATTGATTTATTCTCCAAAAATGTACTTGTGCAACATTTAGGTATCCAATATTATTATGATTTTTTTACGAAATCTAGAGAAAAATCAGCAAAATTTTCAGTTAAAAATGCTCATCTTGTCGTCTCTCCGACGAAGTAACGTAACTCCACTCCAATGTTGCCGAATTGACTCAAGAAATTGATTTATTTTAAAAAAATGTACCCGTGCAATATTTATCCGCAATTTTTTTTTCTTTTTTTACGAAATCTAGAGGCAAATCTGTGAAATTTTTAGTTCAAGACGCTCCCAGTAAGAACGCAATTTGCAATGTAAGGAAGTTACGTTATTTCGTGAAGTCAACGACGATATGAGAATACTAAACTGATGGGCAATTGATTTATTTTACAAAAATGTACCCGTGCAATATTTGTCTAATTTTTTTGTGATTTTTTTACATAATCTAGAGAAAAGTATGTGAAATTTTTAGTTAAAAATGCTCAAGATGCTCTCAGTAAAAATGATATTTTCGAGGGGAAATTTGGCAACAATATAAGGAAGTTATGTTCTTTCGTGAGGGAAATGACGATATGTGAGAGATTTTCTCTCGCGACCCTCTCTTTCACAGACCCTGACCAATTGGTAATCCACGAATCCAAGAACCTACATTAATTAAATGATCGAGTATATTTTTCGTAGTCACATATAATATTGCGATCTCTCCCGATACTATACCTAGAGCCAGTGTCCTTCAAAATTGACTACATTTTGCAATCAGGAATTCTTTAAGTATTCCTATTTTAAATCAAACTAGTATCATTTTTTCCGCTCAAAAATCAGGAAATTTCGTGTCGAATCTGAAGAAAATCGAAAATTCAACTTAGTTGACACCCTGTATTCAATTCACAAAATCTTTCTCATGTAAAGGCGATCTTTGATTACAGGTATATTTTTTCTACGAACTGATTGCGGTAGAGGCACGGGTCGTAAGTCAGTATGTTGGACTTTTTTAGCCAACTTGCGTTAAAAATCAGCGTAAAGCTGAAAATCTCAATACAGATCTCGTTACTATCTCTCGTACCAGTGTTGCACCAAACAGCGTATCTCTTCGAGGGATGTGCTCAGATGAGTTTTCTCCGTCTGTATTGAGATTGTCAGCTTTATGCTGATTTTAAACGCACGTTGGCTAAAAAACTCCAACATACCATATTTTTCCCAAACATGCCCAAAAAAAGAATCGGTTCCTTTTCTGTGGTATGCAGACAGAAGGTCTACAGCAAAAATGTCCACAAGCAAAAAGTCTACATTTTTTGGTCAACATTTACAATGTCTAGAACTAAAAAGTCCACCACAAAAATGTCTACAAATAATAATGTCTTCTAAAAAAAAGTCCATACTTAGAAAGTGCACCTCTGAATGGAATAGGTAGAGTTAACTCACCTCAGTTACTTCTTTCGTTGTATCTATGGAGAAGAATACTCGTGTATTCATTTTCCTTTGATAGACGCGTTATGTGTAGACATTTACTTTCTTAGGCATTCTAAAAGTAGACTCCTTAATTGTAGAATTTTGATTGTAGACTAAATAATGTAGTCATTTTTTGAGTAGACCTTTTTTTCGTAGACCTACTGTCCGTGATTCTTTCCTGTAAACACCGTCAATGGCGTTGGACCTCAACGGTGCGTAATGCAGGTTTCCCTTCTAAAACCGAGACCATATAACGTTCCCCGATGTTTCCCGTCAGATGTGGCAATTGTAAAGCTGAATGTATTTCCATTTACCCCTCGAGCTTTGCTTTTGGTCGCCTTTCAATAACAACCACCCTGCTTTAGGCGATGTTCCATTTTTCATATTTATGAGCCTTTGTAAGGAGTGCCCCCCCCCCTTTCCTCCCAATAGACGATTCAAGCGAGCGGGGTGTCGCGCGTACCAAATAGTGCTGGAAAATCCCGAAATCCCCACGCGATCCACCGTAATTCAGATAGATCTTGCAACGTTCAACCGCCTTCCGAGAAATATACACTTACTCTCCTCGCCTTTTCGTGTAGTAAAACTTTATATTTCGCACCATGCTGCCTTGCTAAACCAGAACGCCGTATGAACATTCGAGAGTTGCTGAATTTCCTGCCACAACATATTTATCTCGAGGAAAGTGCTGCATATTTTTCCTTGAAATGCTCTTATGTTCCGGATTAAATTGCGAACGAAAGTACCTGAAAAATGGAGATGTTGCATGTGTGAGGAATTTGCGATTTGACTGTTGTTTCTTATATAAAAGTTCGCGAGAAGCACGATGGTGCCACTGGTTTTCTCTGAAATCAACTCCCAAGTTTAAAAAAAGCTTTCAAGTAGAGGCCAAAATGGAGGGGAGATCCCTCGCTATCCTGAGAGTCCACCTCTACATCAAGACGAACTCTCCATGTAAAGATGGGGAGCAAATACATCAGCAGTGATGCCATGTTTTCAGTTTCAGAGTCTCCAAATAAAGTGCCAGCCCTGTCAATGTATTTGCTTCCTATCTTTGCATGGAGAGTTTGTCTTGATGTAGAGGTGGACTCATAGCGTGGGATATCCCCTCCATTTTGGCCTCAACTTGAGAGCTTTTTTTGAGCTTGGGAGATAATTGCAGAGAAAACCAGTGGCCACATCGCATCGTGTTTCTCGCGAACTTTTACATCAGAATCAACAGTCAAATCGCAAATTCCTCACACATGCAACATCCCCATTGAAGAGAAATAATTCAGAATTTTTCAAGTGAATTTGTTTTTTATTGAAGGAAGTATGGCAACGTCTGAAGGCTCCTACGGCGTTTTTCCTGAGCACGGCCGCATAAAAGAATGGGCATCCGCATCAGAACGGTAAATCCGACAACACGAGTTTGTAGGTTGCCATTATGTTTGGTTCCCTCGCGGTGGTATCACAAGCGGTAGGCGGATTCTTCCGCTGAGCGATGAAGCAACGCTGACATCACCGGTTGAAAAAGAGCGAGGCCGCCCGCCCGCCGGTCAAGTTTCTAGCGTGGCTTTGTGAAGCGGGCGTTTCTCTCAAATTGGATTTTTCTCCAGGTTTAATGAAAACCCCGTTGTTATTTCACACAGCTCTATTCCGCTCGGCTCTCGACGAGCCCCGGCTTTGAGCCCGCTAGAAAATAGATATTCATGCTTTCAATACACCCGCAGTTTGCAATGATGAGGCGAGCCTATGAAGCGGCTCGCTGCACATTTACCTGTATTGATTTAGGATTTGATAATACAGTCTTGCGTTGATTCTTCCCCCTTCCGGAGCGGGAAATATTCTATTAAGTTAGCCTCCAGGGTAGCTGGCTGCTCTCCGGTTGAAACGGTTTCCGCTCATGTGCACTGCCGTGCTAAGGAAAAACGCCGCACAGTGGATCGAGTCAATTAGAGAGGTCGGACTTGAAAGTTTTGACTAAAACTGCAAATTTCGATGGTTAATTAGTCCTTATTGAGTTTTGAGGGGTGCCTTTCGAAGAAATCTTGACGAGGATATGTGGATTGCATTTTGCAAAAAGGAACCACTAGCATTGCAATGTTGCTAAGATTGTGCAACTTATTTTGTCTTGGAGGAAAACCTCGATTATCCATTAATAGTTTCTATTTTACTCGCTAAAAACTGTAAATTTAAGACAAAAATTACCATCTAAATTTTATAGTTTTTCACGATTTCCGCAATTTTATTGCAAAAGATGAAGTCGCACAGTCTAAGCATCATTGCAATGCTATAGTGGTTCCTTTTTGCAAAATGCAATCCATGTTTGCTTGGAGATCTCAGGGATTTTTGAAAATTCATTCGTATGTTTCGAGAATACGTCACATTTTTATTTTTGACTGAATCTGTTTAACGTTTATCTTTAGTTTCAACAGAATATATATGCTTATATGCAGACAAGAATCATTTTGCGTCGGAAAAAGACAATGCGCCTAGTCATGTATGATCAGTAAAGGTAGAAAAAAGTATCTGAGAATAGAGAAGATATCGTTTTTTTTTTTTATTTATGACTATACAATTTAATTAAGAGTTTATCAAGCCTTCTAGACTTACAGTTTCCTAATTTTAAATTTAAAACCCTTTCAAGACTTTTACTAATATAAATTGATGTGTTCATTTCGTCTTTACACGCAAGTGCTTTTTTATTAGCGCAGGATTTACGTTCACAACTATGTAACTCGGCACGTGGAAGTTTTTAATTTACCTAGGCTATTTTCTACCATCTATGTTGCTAGTTATCGGTGACTGTAATGACGCGACAGCGTTCTGCCACCGAGGTCACAATATTTTGAGTAAATGAGACTGACGTTAAGGTTTTCTTTTGTTCCAGGTGCTGAAACCGTTCATCCCTATGAAAACCAATCTTAGGATTTTTGGTGAGTAGTCTATCAATCTTACAGCAAAGCGTAACTTTTTGACACGCGCTACCTTTCCGCTCCTGGAGAATAATTTAGAAGTGAATAAAGTAAGTCATTACCGACCCGGAGGAGAAGTTTTTGACGCGGAGTTCTCGGTTTAAAAATTCATTCGGCTCAACTCACTTCCATGAGTACTCATTAATGCGCTGAATTGCTGCTGAAATGTAGCGCATTTAAGTCAGAGAAGTTTAAAAATAATGAAGTAGGAACTTTGTCACCAAGGAAGAGGGAACGAAGCAATCTATTGAACCTTCTCTGCTCAATTTATGTATTACACACTAGATACAGAGGGATATAAGAAATTTACACTTCTTATTGCATAGTACATATATAACGTGCACGGAGAAAAAAATTAATCAGGGTTATCTCGTATAATTTTGGTACTACCCCAATTCGTTGGATGATATGGATGTCGAAGGCAATTAGTCAAATCAGGCATTTTATCAATTGCCTAGGCCGGTACAATCAAATTTTGACAGTTTACGGAATGCTGTAAATTTATAGCGAGGAGCTCACAGGTTTTAAATATTTTGGGAAGAACAACTCTTCAAATCTGCAAACTCTCCTTTTTCCTTCCTTTTTACATTCTTTTAGTACATTTAAATTTTAAAATTTTAAAAATTCTACGTTTTATGACGTGCTGATTTTCATGAGAAATGTGCATTCAGGATCTGAAAATCGTTCAACATATTTTTGTATGCTGCAAATTTGTACAGACAATTCTTTCTTACAGGAGGAACGAATTATTTTGTCTAAAATGAGGGTAGAAAATCAAAATCTCTACGTAAGAATATTTGACTATTTGCGTATCCATTTAACAAAATGCCTCATTTGTCTGTCTTCCACATGGGCGTTTCCAACTTATTACGGTAGAACTGCAACTCAAGTTGGGGTAGTACCGCAACATTTGAGGAGCTTTCCGGAAAAAGGGCACATAGCAAAAAATTGCGTTTGAGAGAAATGCATTTGAAGTTTTGATCATTACTCTATGGCCACTGACAGTGACTTCCGTTCGAAATCGAGAGTCCAAGCTGCGATGAAAGGTACCATCAGTGGCCGGAAATCAATGATTGAAACTTGAAATGCATTTTTCAGAAACGCTATTTTTTGCTATGTGTTTTTTTTCCGGAAAGCTCCTCATTTGTGTTAGTAACCTAATTTATTAAGGTACTACTACAACTGATTTATTGAGCTACTACTACAACTTATTAAGCGCTTATTATAAGCGCTCAGCCGTTAGGCAGGCGATTTTTGTTTTCGTTTTGCCACTTGAGTTCTTCTACAGTAAAGCGCTCAAGCGATTGAATGGCTCACCAACTCAATAAAACTTGGCCGACGAGATTCACGGAATTTTCTTTTAACTAGCTAATGATACCCCCTTTTACGTTATCAAATATAAATTAGCGGATAAAATGAATAACATTCCCAAAATTTTCTCTGCTGGAAAGTTTATAGTTATTCTCTCATTATGTCTGAAAATTCAGGTATTGAATTCTTTTCATCCGAACTTTTTGCCACGGTGATGACTTTTCCTGAACCTGTTAAAATTCGCTTCCACTTGACACAGCTGTTGCGTTACCGTTACCATAGAAATGCAGCTTTTGAGCCATTTCCTTTTCTTTCAACCCTGCTCTTGTCTTATGTGTATCGTACAGTCCCCCAAAAAATCTAACCGATGTGCGCTCCCCCCCCCCCCCCCCCCAAAAAAAAAAATAAAAAAAATCCAACTGCCGAGCGCCTCTCTCATACCTGTACGTTTTAGAGCCTTCCCTTTTTTTAAAATTTTTTTATTTTTTTTATTTCGCCACCATTAAATTATTAAACCACTAATTCCCTAAAAGTTAATAGTTTAACACAGAGAATTTGGCAACGTATGAAGACTCACATTGCCGTGCTAAGGAAGAACGCCGTATGAACATTCCAAATTTCCTTCGATAAAATGTTTATTTTGAAGAAAGTTATTATGAATATATTTCCGAAACGTTTTTCAAGAACTTTAGGTAAAATTGCAATCAAAATTATCTGGAAGCTTGGAAGATAAGTGTTTTCTAAATTTGCCCGCAAATTCGTGATTTACGCAGGCAATTTGGCTACGCCTAAAGGTTCACTGGAATAAAAACACATTGGATCTAGAGTTCAGACTCTTCTAAACATCGACTAGAAAAAATACTCTTGATTCAATCAGATTTAAGCTGAATTCAAGAACCAAGCCTGTTAATTTGAGCGGATTTCCTCTTGATTTAAGCTTAAATCTGATTGAATCAAGAGTCCTTTTTCTTGTCAATGTTTTCAAGAGTCTGGACTCTAGATCCAATGTGTTTTTTTTCCAGTGTTCGTACGGCTTTCTCCCTCGACACGACAGTGAATGAGTCGTTTTGAGATTTCCACCACAACGAGGAAAAGGAGCCCGCGGCGCGGCTCTGCGCGGGGAAAGCTCACAATGCTCACAGCTCAACGGAAGCTTCTTATTTTTATGTAATTTTTAAGTACATGCTCAATCGTCTGTCATGTCTGGTAGACTTATGGAGCGGAATGAAGCTCGCGGCCTTGGCCCGGTTGAGGCGTTCGGCTCCTGAAGCTCGGACCGCGGTCGAGTCCGCGCATCCTTTTGTCCGATTCCGAGTCGCGAAAAACGGAATCGATGCAATTCGGTCGGCGGGACAACACTCCGACAAATTAACACAAAAGCTCTGACCTTCCCTGTCACGTGTCGCAAGGAGTTCGAGTCTACGTTCCGCCCAACATTTCCTCCTTGCCGTTGTCTCGAATCCCGGAAATTTAAATCGTCGCTCCATGCGCGGAAAAAATTAAATTGCTGATTTAACAATTAAATTGCTAAAAAGAGGTGACTCTAATACTGCCGTGCAACGCAAAAACGCAGTAAACGCCATTTTAAACTTTTTTGAAATAATTTATCATAGCAAAAAAGCTTGTGTACTTTGGGACTATATGTTCACAGAATTTACTCCTTTATATTATCGAGAATTCAACCTAAAAATTTGAGATGCATGAGTAAAGCAGTTTTTATTTTATAAAGTGTTAAGTTCGAAAAAACGCGGAAAAATCTTGATGGATTTACGGCGCTCTTGCTTAGCACGGCAGAACATTTCAACGTAGATTCCACAACACAAAAATGCTATTTTAATCAACCCCGTGGTTAAATTAGCTTACAATAGTGGTCAAAGTAGTATTTTTGTGTTGTGAAATCTACTTGTCTGTCCAGTGCAGTCACTTTTTCTGGCAATTTAATTGTTAAATCAGTAATTTAATTTTTTCCGTGCTCGCAAAAGGGCTGCTATAGGATTGCGCAAATTCTCCCTTTTTTACCTTTTTGGAGATGCATAGGATTGCGCGAATTTTTCAGGTAGCAGTCCTACATTGCCGTGTTAAGGAAGAACGCCGCATGAGCCTTTAGACGTTGCTAAGTTTTCTTTAATAAATAACGAACATACGGGGAAAATTGTGAATACTCTTTTTCAAAATTTGCAGATAATTTAAATCTAAAATATCTGAAAACAAGGAAAAATATGCATGACTTACTTTAGAAGTTCATGTCTTATCCAGGGATAGTTTGCAACTCTCAAATGTTCATATGGCGTTTTTCTGTAGCACGGCAGTATAACATTCCTACAGTCTTGTAGGCGCTATTATGCGTTCCACGCCAACCGATTGCTGCACTGCGTTTAGCGCAATGCGAGAAGTATTCATGCAGTTTTGTAGGCGCTAATATGGGCTTTACGCGCGCCGGCCGCATTGTTTGGCGCAATGCGTGCAGCATTCCTACAGTCTTGCAGGCGCTAGAATACGTGTAACGCCGGCCGCACTGTGTTTGGCGCGATTATTCGAAGTCTTGTTTGAATAATCGCAGCATCAAATAGTAGAGCCTAGAAGGCCCATGCTGTGTTTCGACGCCGTAAAAGCATTCCTACGTTTTACCGATCGATCAAAGTAGAATCGAACAATGTGTCAGTTATGGTGCTTAATACTTTACCCTGTCCAGTATTTGGTCATCTTTTTTAAAAATTCGTGATCCCTATTTGCAAACAAAAGTACATCGACTTCATCAGGAGGTTGATTCTGTAATGCGGTGAGGTTTCTTCTGTCATGTTACGGCAACCATGTTTTCGCGATGAAATGGAAATTCTATTCCCGAAAGCGAAGTTACTTTGACTGGAAGATTCCTGGAAACATCAGATCCTTTCAAAGAAAACTTCCTGAATTAACTTCCGCGCAGACACTTCCATTCCACCAATCAGCACTATTTTAAGTCGTTCGATCGGAATTGAAATTTTGTCCATCAGCATCTAAAGTTTGTCAAAGCACTTGTTGGGAATTCATTATATTGGAATTCGGTTGAAATTATTCGTTGACTTCTCAGTCTACTTGGTGATCGCACCAAGAGCACCTACACGGTCGTGCTAAGGAAGAACACCGTACGAGCCGTCAGGCGTCGCCAAATTTCATTTGATAAAACGCAAATTTTCTGGTGAACTTATGAATATTGTCCTTCCGATTTTTTTACATAATTTTGTTCGCAATTTCACTTGAAGTTCCTGAAAATTTTGAGGAGAAATATTCAAAACGTTCCGAAAAAATTAACATTTTATCAAAGGACATATGGCAACTCTCAAATGCCCATACGGCGTTCTTCCTTAGCACGGCAGAACACGCTAGCGGCCAGCGTTATTTTCGGTTCTGCGCTACGGCGCTGCATACAACTATTCGTACTTGATGGATGTGCGTGTTGCATACGCATTCATTTGAAGGCGTTTTAACTTTCATCGCGCTCGCAACGCAGCAATGACCCAACGAGTGCCATGTTTATACGTATACAGCATTCGTTTGCGGTTTTAATCACCGATGAAAGCATGGAAATTGCTGGCAGCTGATATCATTTGTATGATTCGTAACGGAAGGAGCTCATTAAAGGAAGATTGAAACCACACCGGGAGCTTCGG